TATATATATATATATATATATATATATATATATATATATATATATGACATGCATACGCATGCATGCATGCATGCATGCATACGTACGAACCACGCGCCAAGAAAGGACTGGGACAGTGTAGTGGGAGGCCCAGTCATCTACCGTTAATTACCCCGGGAAGCTTCCCCCAGCTTGCGTGCGGGTTGGGATGTCACAGCTATCGAAGCAGGGGGTTAGGGTTTAGGGTTTGGGGGTATACCGGCATAGGTGAGGAAGTATTCAATGCCGCTTTTTTTAACATGTTCCTTCAGGTGGTTCATGAGTCGGGTTCCGTATCCCTTTACTTGTTCAGAGGAGGTCACCGCCAAAAAAGCAACCTCAGCAAATTTCTGCATTCAGTGCATGCACAGAAAACAGCCCCAAACTTTATACACCCCCCCTTCTAGGCGAATGCATGCAACCCATTGCCCCACTCAGCTACCACACTCACAACGACGTGCCAGGCAGACAAACTCTTATGCGCTATGTATGTAGATATACCCCAGCCCCATACACTGCGGTGGGCCCCCGGGTGTCCGTGTATTTGTTATGTATGCATATACATAACGTGCACGCACAGGCAACCGGGGTGGCGATGGGTATGCAAACATATATATATATATATATATATATATATATATATAATACAAAGAGAGAGCGAAAGACATAAGAACATAACCCCAATCAATCAAGCCCCACGTTATGCAGGTAGACTTTAAATACAGATTGCAATGCATGTACAGAGGAAGTGTATGCGTGCCTGTTTGAAATAGGGGCGGAAGCAGCAACCACCGATTATCTGCTGCTGTTTAATGAGGCAGAAGGTGTAGTGGTTGCGGTCAAAGACGAGACGAACGATATACTCGCGGGGCATCTTAGGGAGTTGTCTAGAAAAAATATTCTTTGCTGCTACCAACGCCATTGAGTGCAGCGGCTGGCGATCGTTTGTCAAACAAGCAAAAGAAATTAAACCCGATTGCTCCTCCCTCGCAGACCCGAAGTCCCGGCTTAAGAAACCCAAGCCTGACTCCGACACCAGCAGCGACTGCAGCAGCAGCAGCAGCAAATGCAGCAGCAGCAGCAAATGCAGCAAAGGCAGCAAAGGCAGCTTGCTGCTGCGAAGGCCCCCCAAAACCTTACTGACAAGCCACACACCTACACTGTAGCGGCTGCTCCTACACGCGCCACGTGCAGCAGCAGATAAATTAGACGCCATTAGAGCTAGAGCAGCAACAAAGACAGCAGCAGCAATACAACAGCAGCAGAGACACGAGCACCAGGAACAACAGCAGCAAGCCCAGGAACAACACGAACAAGGAAACTCCGCAATAGCAGCCCAAGGCAAGCAGCAGAGAGAGAAGGTGGTAGTACACCTCAAGTGTAGGGTCTTGCGTTGACAGCGAATGCAACGCCGCCTGTCTTGCAGGAAGGCTAAGGCTGGCTTCATCACAGAGGCGGTGATATATAGCAGCGCAGCAGAACCCCAAGGGCCCCCCCATTATGTCGCGCAGCAAAGAAGAGCAGCAGCACAGCAGCAGAGAACGAAGCATCCCCCTTCCAAATACACAACTTAAAGAGGCCCCAGTAGGCTGCTTCCGCAGCAGAAAATCTCGCCACTCTCTGCAAACAAAACAAACGCAGCAACCTGCTCTAGTTGCATGCATGAATGCATGCATGCACGCATGCAGACAAGCATGGATTCAATGCTGACGCCTCCTAGCTGAATGCATGTCTTGCTGCGTAGGAACATGCATACAAAAAGCCCCAAGGAAGGGACAGACATATCTAGGGTATCTGTAGATACACCCGGCATCCACACCCCCTCACCTGTAGTTGGTTTCGTAGCAACGATCAGGAGGCAGCAGACGGCACTTAAGGCGTTCTTCAGGTGTCACGAGCTGCACGGTATTCAGTGCAGCAGCAACAGCCATAGCCAATCCTGCTAAGGCCTCCTGCCCCAGCAGCCGCCCGTCGTGTGGTACTAACGCGAGCAGCGACCGGCTGTCTATACACCTGGGAGGCTGCGCAGAAGGGAAAGACAAATTGTCTGAAGTAGCGCCGCCGTCTGACCGAGATCCTGAAGCTGCTGTTCCTCCTGATGCAGCACCTCCCGCTGGTGCTCCTGCTGCAGAGGTGCTGCCGCGGCAAGCAGCATTCGCTGCAGCTACTGCTGCTCGGCGGCCCGGAGTGCCCGTGCTGCTGCTGCTGGGGCACCGCTGCTGCAGCATCTGCTGCAGTTGGTCTAAGTGGGTGAAAGTAAAGGGAGAGGGGGGAGACGGCTGCTGCGAGGGCACGAGTATAGGCTGCAGCACTTCTTGAACGATTCGGTGAACAATATCAGAAATAGATGCTTCCAGAGGCAGCACAGACTTAAACGCAGCCACCCCATTGCAACTGCTGCTGCTGATATTGCTGCTGCTGATGCTGCTGCTGCTGCTGATGCTGCTGTTACTTGCAGCGGCGACGGGGGAACAAGCAGCAGGCCCTGCTGCTGCCGATACGCCACTAGAGGCGCCTGACCCACGAGGGGTACCCACCGCTGTAGAGCCCACCATGCTGCTGCTGCTATTGCTGTTGCTGTTGCTGTTGCTGCTGCTGCACGCGTGGGGAGGGGATTGATGCAAGTGTCTGCTGCAGCAGCTGCAGTAAGCCGACGGGAGAGCACCGTTGAGCTGTGGACGGACGTGCTGCTGTTTACTGCAAGACGCTCCTCTTCCGCGTCACAGCAGCAGCAGCAGCTGCTGCTGCGGCTGCAGCTGCTGCTGCTGCTACTGTTTGATGCGGTGCTGCTGGTCGCGCTCGAAATGGTCTTCCGGGAACCCAGGAGAGCACGTCACAGCAGCAGCAGCAGCAGCAGCGTCAAGCAGCAGCCAGCAGCGGCAAAACGACAGCCACATCAACAAAACCCCTCTTTTCAATTCTTGCGAATTCCGCAAAACACAATTTAAATGAAATTGCAACAGCTCCGCATGCATAGAGCAGCGGGATGGGGCCCGCTGGGGGCCCGCAGGAAGGTCTGGTGGCTGCTGCTGCTGCTGCTGCTGCTGCTATTGCACAGCAACGAAAGTTAGAGTTTTGAATTAAAGCCAGCAGCTCTCAATGGCTTTTAGAGCCTGTAGATTAGCAAAAGACAAGCAGAGTAAACAGCAACGAGGAGGCGACGATCCCAGCAAATCAACGAAACCGCCATAGCAGTCACTTACCACATTAGCCAGCAGCAGCTGCCCCTCCAGAGGCAGAAACAGTTGTTGTGCTGCTGCCTCGACAGCTGCAGCGCCTGCGGAAGGCGCAGCAGAGGCAGACAGCTGCCAAAAGCTCACGGGTGTCAGACCAGCAGCACCAGCAGCAGCAGTAGCAGCGGGAGCAGCCCACGGAGCACCACCAGGACTAGGGGCGGCGATGGGAGAGAGGGAGGCCAGGCAGGCCCTTTGAAGCCTGCATGTCACCGCTATGCAGCGGCTTCTGTGCAGCCGCAGCAAGCAGCGCCAGGTCTTGCTGCATTGGCTGTTGCTGCTACTGCTGTCGCTGCTGCTGCTGCTGCTCGCGACAGCACTACCAGGATGCAGCTACTTTGGGCTTGCAAGCAGCACTAAGACAAGGTGGGGGGTTGGCACCTATGCGTTCCTCTTGAGCCCGCAGCCGCATCTCAGCAGCTCGAGTGGCAGCAACTGGGAGAGTGCAGCACAGCAGCCGCAGCAGCGCCGCTCCTTGTATAATGAGGCCTGCAGCAGCAGAAGCTGCAGCATTATCACCGGCGGCAGACTTTCAGGAGAGACTAGGCTCTGGGTTCGCAAGGTCAGTAACCATGCTCAGCCGCACACAGATCGACGCTAGCCAGCTAGCTATCCATCTAGCCAGCTAGCTAAGCAGCTAGCTTTGATGCAATGGACATTTTGCTGATGACCTGTTGCTGCAGTTTTTGAATTTGCGAGACCCGGAGGAGCCCCGGCCTGAGGTGGAGGAGGTGGCGTGGGAGGACATGAAGCCCAAGGTATAATTTCCTCCTGCTGCTGCTGCCTTAGCTGTTTTCTCTAGGTGCTGCTGCTGCTGCTTCAGCCTTGACGGTTGTTACTAGACGCATCTGGCTTAGCTGTTCCTGCAGGTTGTCTTTTCTTTCCTTTGTATTGGCTGTAGTGGGTCGAGCGGCCTCCTTAAGATAGCCAGAGGAGGGGGTGGAGCTGTTGGGGTGTACGCACAGGTGGAGGTGTTGGCTTTAAAGGTGGGCATGACGTGCGTCTTCGCTTCCGATGGGGCTACAGAACCCGCTACGCTTTTGCAGGTCCTCCCTGCCACCATCGTGCAGTTTCTAGAATACGGAAAAGCCTTAGTGGCCTTCGGTGAGATCCCCATCAGCATCAGCAACAGTAGCAACAGCAGCAACAGTAGCAACAGCAGCAGCAGCAGCAACAACAGTAGCAACAGCAGCAGCAGCAGCAGTAGCAACAGTAGCAACAGCAGCAGCAGCAGCAGTTCAGGGTTGGGGGGGTACATCCCTGTACGCTGCCTACACGCGCTTGCTCCACCGTCCAGCAGCTGCTGCAGCCGTTGCATGCGGGAGGTAACCAAAGTGCACTTAGAGAAGCTTGTTTTGCTGGCGCGCATATCTTCACAAGAGCTGCCTCAAATTGTGTTCCATCCCAAGTTGTGTGTTTGTGTGCTGCTGCGGATCTGCTGCTGCTGCTGGTGTTGCTGCTCAGAAGATCCGCTACACAGCCACCGCTTCCTGCGGCGGTCGGTGTTGGGTGTGCTGCAGCGTGTAGGAAGCAGTGGCATCAGCACGAGCACGGCGGGGGCTCGGAGCAGAGGCAGCGGGGGCAGCAGCACCATGGCTGCGGTGTACGCACAGCCAGCAGCAGATTATGTTCTGGGGCAAATCCTTGACGCCTCTGCGCTGGTGGGCGCAGCCCGCGTTACCGTCAAGGGCCGCCCCAAGAAGAAAGGCTTTGAGGGCGTCATGCAGCGACACGGATTCAAAGGGTAAACAAGTCAAACAAATCGTGCTGGTCCTCTTCATGCTAGCAAACATCTTTGTTTCCAGTCTTTATTCACGTATATTTGCTTATATCTCTGCGTAAACATATGGATGTTTGTAAACATATTTGTATTTTTTCTTATATGGTTGAATATCTAGACATATGCATCTTCAAATATATGCGTCTATGCATGTATATATATATATATATACATAGGTATACACATAATATAAAGTATATACGTACACATATATGTACAGAGACAGGGATACATATATATATATATATATATATATATATATATCCGCACTGGACGCAAATGTAAGTGAGCGATTGTATCTTCGCGGGTCTTTGCTTCTGAGTTAAACCGCTGTCTGCACATACACCTGAAGTGTACTTGGAGGCTGCCGCTGCTGCGCCTTGCAGCTTGCTCGCTTCCTTCCCTTCTGGGTCTCACCCTCACTGTCTCCTTTCGACTGCCTTCTTCCTAGGACTAGCTTGCTGCAGTCCCCTTGTGCCCCGCACTTAACAGCTGCATCACCTGCAGCAGCAGCAGCAGTAGCAGAGAGGCCGCTGCAGCGGTGTCGTACAGCTGAGCGTGGACTGTTTCTACGTGTGTGGCTGCAGGGGCCCCGCAACGCACGGGTCGAAGCACCACCGGGGCCCCGGGTCTGTGGGGGCGGGAACGGATCCCGGTCGAGTGTTACCGGGGACGCGTATGGCAGGGAGAGACCCGAAGCAGAGCAGCACGGTGAGAGATTTGCTGCTGCTAGGCCTCAACCTCAAGACAAATGCCCTCTTAGTTAAGGGCTCTGTGCCTGGACACTCCGGACGAACCATTCTAAGAGTACAGTGGGACAGGGCCAGAGAACAGCAGCGCGAGCTGCGCCAGCGCCTTGCGAAGGCTGCAGCAGATGAATTCATTGAACAGAAAAAAGGCAAGCCAGCTGGATAGACAGCAGGAAACGCAATACACCCATTCACTTCAAGCACACGCTGGACAACAGCTGCAGCAGCAGCAGCATCACCTGCTGCAGCGAATGCTGCTGCACCTGGCAGCACATCTTTTTGACTCTGTTAAGCGCAGCAAATCCGAAGCTAGCTACCTAGCTACTTAGCTTCCGCGGGAGCAGCAGCGTTGCAGCTGCATTGGGTGCGAGCGAGAGGTGAAACGCATCAGCTCCCCCCTTTTGGCTGCGGGGTAGCTAGCTAGCTGTCTAGCTAACTACGAAACTATCCTTTGGCTACCCGGCTACCTACCCACTGTGTACGTAAAGGTTTTATGGGCGCGGGACGCTCGTTCTGTGCGGGCCACGAAGGCAGCAGCCACAATAGCCGCTTGCAGCAGCGCCCTGCGCGATGCAACACGTGATAGCAAAACTGCTGATGCTTAAAAACTGTTTCTCTTGCCTCCCCTTTCTTCAAGGGCTCGAACTCTTGCTGCTGGTCGTGCTGCTGCTGCTGCTGTGAGCCCGGGGGATTCGGGCAAGCAGCTGCGCCGAACGGTGTGGGCAGCAGCCGCATCTGCTTCCTCAAGTCTCTGTGGAGCGGCTGCTTGTACAGACGCTAGTGTCTCTGCTGCAGCACCAATGGCCTCACGCACTTCAGCCATGTCTGCTGCTTGGCCCTCAGCAGAGTCGTCGCCGTTGCTGCAAGAGCGGCCTACGTCCCCATACACTGAACCAGCGCTATCAGCATAAGATGTAGTCGCTGCTACTGCTGCAACTTCCCCTTCCCCGAACAACGAGCCCAAATCCTCAGCATCAAACTGAGGCAACTCAATCAATTGAGCGCTTCTTTCAGGTGCAGAGTCCGGAGACGGAGCTGTACGGACGCGCGCTGCTGTTGCTACTTCGCATTCTCCGTCTGCTGCAGCAGACGCAAGTGCAGCAGTTACGGCAGACGGTTGTTGCTGCGCCTTCCAAAATTCTTCTCTACGATCCCCACGTTGGAGCTGTTGCTCCTGCTGGTGTTGCGACTGCTGTGGCAGCAGCAGCAAGCCTTGAGCCGAGCCCAACACGTCGTGCCCAAGCTCACTGAGCGGTACCGAGCGGCGTTCCTGCTGCAGCACTTGTTGCTGCAGTAATTGCTGCTGTAGCACTTGCTGCTGCAGTACTTGCCGCTGCAATACTTGCCGCTGTTCATGTGCTGAAGATTCCCCCTGCCGATGCGGAGCTGGAGCCCCTTGGTGCAGGCACTCCGACGCACGCATTCCTCGCAGTCGCAGCAGCTGCTGCTGCTGCTGCTCTGAGCTGTTGTCCCCGGCTTCTGCCACCAAAAGAGTTCCTTCAGCATGCTCACTTGAAGGTGCCGGGCTCAGCTGCCAGCTCTCTGGTACCTGTACTTCTGAAGTGGGCAGCTGCTGCTTCTCCAACATCTGCTGCTGCTGCTGCAGCTTCTTCATTAACCTTTGCTCGTGCTGCTCCGGCCCGTCTTGTAACTGCTGCTCTTCCTCCTGCTCGGCGCGCACCAGGTTCTGCTGTTCCATCACTCTTTGTTCGTGCTGCTGCAGCAGCCTTTGTTCTCTAAGTTGCTGCAGCAATCGATGCTCCTGCTGCAGGAGCAGTTGCTGCTGCTGTTGTTGCTGTTGCAGCAGCAGGCGCTGCCCCTGCAGCTGCAGCTGCGCGAAATCACTCAGCAAGTGGCTGTCGCCGAGCTGTTGCTTCCGCAGCTGCTGAATAGGAAACTGCAACCCCGCACAGTCTTGCCTGACAAGACGCTGCAGCTGCTGGAGATCCGTGGGATGACACACAAAATCTTCTTCTTGCTGGTGCGGGAGTGCTGCTGCCTTCTCTAGTGTTTGTTCAGCATTTAAATGCTCCCTCTGGCTTGTAATGGGCTGCACAAGGAGCTGCCGCTCCTCATGCACCTGATCGAGCAGCTCGGCTGCGGGTGGCAACTGCAACGACTGCTGCTGCTGCTGCTGGTGCAAGGACTCCACGGGGTGTATCCACTGCTTAAGATGCTGCTGCTCGCTTCCAGTTGACTGCTGTTGCTGTTGTTGCTGCAGCCGCTGCTGCTCTTGCTGCTGCATCTGATGCTGCAGCTGCGCAGCGTTGTGTAAAACAAGTGCGTCTTGCCCCATCTGTCTTCGCTGCTGGGGTTCACCAGCAGCAAACCCTGGATGCTGCTGAACCTGTGCCTCCTGCAACTTCTGTCGCTGCTGTTGCTGGTAATTCAGTGGCGAATGCTGCCCCTCGTCCTCCCCGAAGCAACCCGCCAGACGTTGATGCGCCAGCTGCTGCTGCAGGTACAGCTGTTGCAGCTGCTGTTGTTGCCGCTGCTGCTGTTGCAGGTGCCGCCGGTGCAGCGGCTGCTGCTGCTGTTGCAGGTGCCGCTGTTGCTGCTCTTTCTTTTGCGACTGCTGCTCCAGCACCTGGCCTGAGGCTGCGGGCGTCGGCTGCACCGGTACCTCCCAACCCTGCTGCGGCAGCTTCGTAGGTCCTAAACCCTGGTGCTGCAGGAGCTTCTGGTTTTGCTGCGGTTGCATCAGTTGCTGTTCTTGCCAGTGTGACTCGTGTTGCAGCGCATGCTGCTGCGTCTTCTGCGCCTGAAACTGAGTTCCGTGAGGCCGTGCCTGCTGCAGCAAATAATGCTGCTGCAGGTCAGACACGGGCTGTGCCTGGCTCTGCTGCTGCTGCACTTCAGCTTGCGTGTGGTGCTGGCGCTGATATACACTGGGTTGCGAACTGCTGTTGGGTGCCTCCACGCCGTACTTGTAAGCGCTTGCCTGCTCTCTGTGATCATTACCCGGCCTCTCCTTCTTACGCCTTCGCTCCTGCTGCACTTGCCGTTTCTGCAGCAACTGCTGCAACTGCTGTGGCTGCCGCGGCTGCTGCAACTGCTGCTGAAGCAGCTGATGAAGCAGCGGCTCTTGCTCCGCCCGCAGCCTACTTTGCTGTTTCTGTAAAGAAAAAGGCCCCTTTACCTGATTCCGCCAGAGTTGTGGTTGTTCTGACGGATACTGCATGGTTGTGGGGTCCCACGGAGAACCAGGCCTTGATGAAGCTTGAGAACCACAGATGACGTCTTGCTGTAGGAGCAGTAACTGTGTCTCCTGCTGGTGCTGCTGCTGCTGTTGCTCCTCGAATCGATCTACTGCTGCAAAACTGGGGAAAAGAAGTTCATCCTGAAGCCCCTGCCGAGGCAGCTGTGCATGCCCAAGCTGCTCGAGTGGATGCAGGAACTCTGGTGGGTGCGGCACGGATGCCTGCCCCATGCACTGCTGCTGCTGCTTCTGTTGCTGTTCCTGACGCTGCTGTTTCTGCTGCTGCCGTTGATTGTGCTGCTGCTGCTCGCGCGCCTCCTGGTCCTTCACCTGCTGCGGTCTGGTGAACTGCTGAGACCTCTCCTCACAGGCAGCAACCTCCCGTTTGTGCTGCATCTCGCTGTGCGAGGGTTGTATTTTCCAAGGCGGGGCAGCAGTATCTCGGTGTACGCTGGGTGGCGCTGGCTGCTGCTGCTGCCGCTGCTGCCGCTGCTGCTGCTGCTGCTGCTCACTGTCGTGCAGGACGACGTGAGGACCCGCCGGTTCACCCAGCAGCTCGTTAGCTCGGCGAAGGAGCTGGTGCTGTTCCTCTCGTCCTCGTTGCTGCTGCTGCTGCGCTTGCTGCTGCTGCCGTTGTCGTTGCTGCCGTCGTTGTGCGCATATATCTCCCCCGGTATGCTGGCGAGTCCGTGCAAGTTCAGAGCGCAGCAAGGCCCGCAGCAGCAGACGGTCTTCCTGCTTCTGGCGCTGCTGCTGATCCTTTTCTCCTCCCCGCTGCTGTTGCGGTGACTCGTCCAAGGCGGCTGCAAGCACTGAAGGATCTATAATTGAGATGATGGGCTCGTCTGTCTCTGGCAGTGTGACGTGGGCTTCTTGTGGGGTGACACGCAGCAGGGGCCAAAAAACAGCTGTAGGAAGTGAGGAAGCAGCGGATTCCAGAAACTGCAGCCGTTGCTGCTGCTCCTGCTGCTGCATGCGGTGCAGCACGGCCCGAGCTGTCTCCGCAGCCTTGCGAAAAGACGCAGCAAAAGTGAGACGGCGAATTGTCTCTCGGGCTGCTCCAGCAAAGGCAGCGGGGCAAGCATACAGCCGTCGGAGCTGCAGCAGAGTTCCATTGACGCGCTGAGCTTTCATGCTGCAAGCCAGACCCTGCTCGTGATACTGCCGCAGCTTCAGCCGACCTCTTAGACAGAAGCGCAAGAGTTGCAGTTGCTGGCGGCAGTGCTGCATCCAGGCCACCCGCTGTTTCTTCGTGAGGGCCTTCTGCTGCTTCTCGAGCTGGTGCAGTTCCAACATCGCTGCTTCCTGATCGGCAGCAAGAAGACGTAGCTGCTGTGGAGCAAACCGAGAGTATGCTACGGGCGGTGTTGGAGTCGCAGCAGCAACTGCAGCAAAAGCTCGTGTGTGCACAGCTGTCAGTTCTTGCTGCTCGCCCAGCAGAATTGAAAGCGCTGCTTCCGTCTCACCTGCTGCAGCGAGCAAGCCATCAGCTGCACACCTAAATGCAGTTGTTGCTGCACAGATGTCCTGCTCCACTTGCTCGACTTGTTGTAGCACCGCAGTGCGGTCTGCGAACACTGATGTTGCGAACGCACGGATGGCTGGGACGTTGAGGAGAGAGGCTACTGAAGGCCCAATAACTGTTCCATCTCTACATGGAGCCGTTGCTGAAGCCGCTTCTGTTGTCGCTAAATCTGCTGCTAGAGTTGCTGCTGCCGCTGTTGCAGCGGCTGTGCTGCCCGCCTCGACTTCCGCTGTAGGGCCTGCAGGTTCTTCCAGAAAAGAAAATCTTGTAGCCCCTGCGCCGGGGGCATTTACAGCTTCTACGCCGGTAAGACTGTTTTGCTGCTGGACTGCTCCAGCTGCAGTCCCTAGTGTTGCCGTGCTGGGGTTACTGTGGTCACTCCCACTGCATGCACTTGCCGCGGGCACAGCAGCTGCAGGGGCTGGGCCTCCGTCGGGACTCTCGGAGCCGCAGAAGTGTACTACATGCTTACCTAGAGAGCTGTCGGGCGCCGTTGTTGCTACAGCGGCAGGAGATTCCGTCTCCTTTATATCAGCTATAGGACTCCCCACCTTCCTGCGCTGCTTTGGTGAGCATATCAGGCCCAGCCAACAAGTCCCCTGTGCTGGGCTGCCTAACAAGCAGGGTTTGAGGGGTACTTGCTCACCGGGAAGTGATGACAAAACTTCCGTTTGTGGTGGTGCTGCTGATGGCCTTGCAGCTGTTGCTGCTGCTGCTGATGCAAAGGAGCCGCATGAGGCCGCTGATAATCCTGCAGGGGACGGCTGCATGGTGCCAAATTCATCTGAGACATTTTCTGCAGAATGAATTGCATCTGCCCAGACACCTTTGCCCGAGCCCACATCCGCGGGACTGCATTCCCCTGCAGCAGAACTTCCTGCTTCTGTCAAGAATGATGTTTTTTTAGTGTCTGCTGCTGCCGTCCTTAAGGTATCTTGCCTTGCTGCAGTCACCTCTTCAGAAGCAGCAGCAACCCCAGCAGCGGCAGAATCCTGCGTCCGAGGAGACGCTCTGTGACTGAACAGCTCTGTTGAAGCAGTTGCAAGCAAGGTGGTATCTGCGTTTGGTTGGTGCTGCTGCTGTACAGCATTATCGTGCTTAAGTTGTAGCAGCAGCAGCAGCACCGGGTCGACAGGTGTTTGCTGAAGCTTGAGTAGCAGCTGCTCGAACCCCGCAACGACGCTCTCCTGAGCAATCGCCTGCTGCTGCAGCCGCAGCTTGAGAGCTTCAGCCCACTTCAGCGCCAGGTCTGCGTGCCTCAGCAGCGCCCGCACGACGACTTCTGCTGCAGACCGTTGGCGTCTCAGCCGCACATGCAGATCGGCTGCCACAGCAGCTGCATCGCGAGAAGCACAAAGCAAGGGAGCAGCAGCAACGATGTTGCTGCCAAACACCCTGAATGAGGCGTCACCATCCAACAGCGTAGCACTCCGCAACGCCTTCAGCTCCCCGCTGACCAGCCGCTGCTGCACAGTCGCCGATGGAAAACTGAAGCAGTCTGCGCTGCTGCATGCACAAGCGGCATCAGGATTTGCGCCGCCCCCAAGAGCAGCAGTAGCAGCAGCAGCGGCAATAACGGCTGCACCCACCCCTCCCACCCCTCTACCAGCAGCGCGGTCACCCGCTCTGTAGGTGGGCAGAGAGCTGCTGAGCATCTCAGGTTCTCTTGTTGGTATTTGTTTCCCATGGATTACTTCCACAGTCGATAAAACTTTGGGATCCGCCGCTAGTGAAAGAGATGTCAGCTGTGGTGCAACAGCTTCAGCTGCTGCTGTTGCGCCATACTTACCATCTGTGCCTTCTGCTGCTGAAGCGGCCAAAGCGGGTCCATAGTAGCAGCTACTCCCCAAACAAGAAAGTAGCTCTGGGCGGATAAGAATGAGAGATAGAGGCCCACTTGATTGAATAAGGCTGCTGTTGTTTTTGCTGCTGCTACCTGGTTCCTGCAACGCTGCCGCAGCCTCTGCTGAGAGGCTCCTTCCGGTGGCCTCCACAAAGCAGAGACATCGCTGAGGCTCCTCAAGTCTGGATGCGCTCTTATTTTGCGGCTCAACGTCTTTAGATCTCTTCCTTGCAGAGTCACTTCCAGCAGCAAGGGAGGGAGGAAGCATGGGGAGAAGCTGGTTCACATAGTGCTCTAAGTTTAACCAGAAGCACGCCTCTGGAGCCGGGGACGAGCTCTGATCTCTCTGGAGTTTCCTGACGCTGGCGTTTCCAGATAAGCTCAGAGGCCAAGGGAACCGAAACGCCTCTCCTGTGAGAGCGTCTAGGAGCACGAGCTCCCTGGTGCCCCTAAAGTGACCATGGGCACTGGCTCCTTTCGTGTGGGTGTTGGTGTGGGCACATAACATATTTAATGCTCTCATGATTGCTTCTGGGCGGCTGCAGCCCAGAGAAAGCTGGAGTTAGCTGTACCACAGCTGTCATGCCGCCTGTGCATGGCTGGAGCAGTTTAAGAGGGTCGCATGGAGAGAAATCTGTAACGCAGCCGTCGCTGCCACTCCTAGAGCCCCTGAACTCAAGTAGTTCCGGAGTCTTGGGCATGCAGTAGCATGGGAGTTCTTTGCTGTGCACACCATGAGATCACCCGTCGCTTGCGGTCCTTGGACTAGAGTATGAGCGGGTTTGCATGCTGCGTTGGAAGGGGGATGTCTTCTTTCCAATCATGAAGCGGTATAGAAGCGAGAGAGTGGATTGCTTGCCTTTATGAAATATATTTGCTTTATGAATGCCTCAGAGTCTGCCAGTGTACGCGTACGCAACCTCCACACCAGTGGTCAGACTGTCGCCACGGTGGGTGGCCTCCATCGGTTTTCGCTTTCTTTCCCTCTTATAAGAGCTGAGTAGAAGAATCAAATTGTACGTTCGTTCGAGGCACAGATGCAACCTAGAAGCAACGACGACATTAAGGGCTGACGAGGCCCCCTCGGCACCATGACAGGAATGCCGTTGCCGTGGATGGAGTCTGGTCCAACTCCCGCTTTTGAGAGTACCAGAAGAGGTCCTCTCAACCTCTTGAGCCCTCAAACGAGCTGATAAGTTCCCTTCTATTAGTGGCTAAGGTCACACGAAGTACAGAGGCTGCCGGATCGACGCATTTGGCGCGGAAGTTTTGTCTGGTTGATGTTGCATTTCGTGGATCATCGGTGAACATCTAAGCTAGGCTGGCAGCGGAACTTTCATGGATCGCCGTCTTGTTATCTAAGCGCAGCCGATATAGCGAACTCTTATCGATAACCTGTTTGAGACCTTCTGCCTGAAGCGAGGCCCGAGCGGAGGTGTGTTGGCGCATAACACACGAACAACTTGCAGTTTCGCAGCTCATGGGCAGCGACATCTCTTTCTGCGTGTATCTTCAACTGCGCTTCACAGTCCTCACTATGCCCAGAAGCAGCAACACAAGAACACTTCCCGTAGATGTTGGGCAACAGCCCGATCCGACGCATGATAAATGTCAGTGAGCCTTACGAAACGAAAGGCATGCCATACATTGATTCGAAGGAAAAGCATTTAGTTACTTCTCCCGCACGCTGCACCAAGCTAAAGATGCGGAGAGCCCTCCCCTAGGGTGTCCTAATGCATGTAGAGATAGTGCACGACCCTTCGGCATCCGAACATACCACAGAATAAAAGCGAAGCCCACCTACAGTAGACACTGTCATGGAAGCTCATGGAACATACTTCTGCTACAGTGCAAGAGTCTGTATGCTAGTGGGACATGCGTCTGCTACTGTAGACTAGTATGCTAATGGAACGTGCTTCTGCTACGCTGCACTAGCATACTAATGCCGGGACTTGCTATATGTTAAGACTTGCTATATGTTAATTCGGTTGGAGTCAATGTTCAAATGCGAATTCATAAACCTGTGTGCAACTAGAGTTTACGGGTCTCTAGCCAAAAAAGCCATCATCATCTAGATTGTATAGCATAAGTGCACTCTATAGCACAATAGCTCCATCGGCCCGACAGAACCACTGTGCGTCAACGTTTCGAAGAGGGACGCTTCGGCAAATTTGGATGGTGGAGAAGATGGGCGGGTGAATGGCCACCGCTTCCTGGCGGACAAGTTAGACGGGATGCCAATAGCACGCAGCATAAGTCGGGCTACTAGCGAATCTCTCTTTCGGCCTCCTCCGCTTCAAAGGACAAAGTAAGCACGCCACCGCCTGCGAATTCCTCAACCCTGGGACTTCCACCGTTCCATTTTTGTCGTAAGTTCCTCCCACCATCCTTCCTCTTCGCCAAAATCATACGTAGGCCCTCTAGGCTTTTGCCCTGGGGGCTGAACAACGCAGACTATCTTGTATACGCTCCCGCCGTAAGCATAC